TTTTGCTTTAAATCCTACTTTACTTAGGATGCATTGACTTGCGTGCAGCATCTGCACATGTGGCGCACTATGAGTGGTGTACGCAGTACGACGCACGGAAATCCAAAGAAGAAAAGCCAGAGATTGCACAGGAAAAAGAAATCGTCGAAAACAAGTCAGGAGCCATACCCCCTCAATAATAATAGAATATTAAGAATAAGTAAATGTTGGCTGGGTTTCTGTCGCAGGGAGGCAATGCGGAGAAGAGATGAAAGAATGCAATCCAAATCCAGCTCCAGCGACGAGGAGGACGAGGAGGAGCAGGACGAGGAGGAGGAGGAGGCGATTGCTGATCTGACGAGGGAACACAAGGCAGTGGAGAAGTCTAATCATCAGCCAGGAAGGACGGCAAGATCACAATCGAGGTCGCCCTCGAGGTCGCCCGATGCTGATCAGCGCAGGGTACAAATGGTGGACGAAGATGATGATAAGTCCAAACGACAGCTGGCAGGTTCGCCGTCACTGTCAACATCGTCTTCGGCGTCTGAAGAGTCAGATGAAGCTTCAGATGAAGCTTCAGAGAATAGTCTCTCGTCAGATGATTCCTTGGAGCGGCAGCTAGAGGAGGAAGACACGTACGAGCAGCCACAGAAGCGCCTACGAAGTATCATTGTTTGTTCGCCTATGAGCAGCAGCCCATAGGTCGGTCGGGGTGAGTGCCGGAATGGTGGCAGAGAAAGAGGGGGAGGGAGAGAGGGATAGAGGGAGGGAATGAGGGAAAGGAAGGCAGAGCTGAAGCAGGGGTTTTCCTAATCTGTCGATATAGAATGAGATTACTCCTGTCTGGTTTTCCAAGAAGGGTAAGGAGAGGATAGGGTGGATTGAGAGCGACGTCGAATAAGACTCCTCCCCCTTTGTGTTCCCAAGAAGGGAGGAGAAAAGTAGAGAAAGAACTTCAAAAAAGAGAGGATGGAATGCAAGGGGGGGGGGGGGGGGGGGGAGGAGGTTAAGATGGAGAGTTTCACCTGTTTTTTTGGCATGTAATGCAATGATTGCTCTCTTATAATGGATTCGTTCCTCGTTGCTTCGTCTGTCATTGGCTTGCGAGTCGCAACCTTTTTTTCTCTGTTTTTTCTTCCAACTAAGCTATGTGCAAGGAAAATGAGCAATACAGTATCCAGGTTGTACAATCACATTGAAAGCCAGAGAGTCCCACACTGTGCAGAAAGCAGAATTGCACCAATATTACACCAAAGGAGAACCGAAACACTGAGTCCGAGTGTCAATGAGAGCTTACTCTCGCCATCACCCACATACGTATCCAGAGTCCTTCCCCCTACTCGGCGCTCAGCGCCCAGACTACTATCCTACAGCTACTTCCAGCCTAGGAATTGACAAGGCAACTGTTGACGTCAGCAGCTACCGAAGTACATGAAGATGTCGCCGGTTGCAGACTATCGCCAAGACCAGGTGTGTGCCCTCACGTCATCATCCTCCGCTCTCTCTCCCTCTCTCTCCCTTGTCTTTCACCCACGTCTTCTCCCTCATGCACGAAGAGCACCACTACCCCTTGCTGCGTACCGAAGCCCGGCCGGCTATGGAAGCCGAGCGATGGCGCTGCCCACAGCAGCGCCCTTCCTTACAGGACCGCGCGTGCGTGGGCACGTTGCACAGCGCAGCGCACAGCACGTGAGCGCAGACTCAAGCAGCGCTGCCGCATGAGTTGCAAGTGCCCGAATGCCTCCCCAGGCTGCGAGCACTTTCCTATATGGAAAGAGCTCGGTCTGGCCTGTGGCCTGGCTGGGCTGGGCCTGCGCCCAGAAGCTTACAGTAGGCCCCGGGTTGCTGGGCCTTTGCGGCTACTGCCCTGGGCCCCGGTTGGTTACGCCTCCCAACTGCCTGTCGTGTATACTGCTGCAGATGCAGCCCATGGCCTGCTTCGAAGAAAGACCGAGAAGGCCGAAAGGCCCGAAACAAAGAGTGGCTGGCCGTGGCCTGGGTTCTTCCGACCAACTGATGCGACGCAACTGCCTGAACCCCAAATGCGAAATTGACAACAATGGGCCCCGCATGATTTTCTCAGGCCCGCCTTCACTTAGGGTGCGCACATGCCAAAAATGAGGCCCTTAGGCCTGCCGAGGAGCCAATTCCTCGTATATGTTCTTGTCTCAAATGTACCTCACACCACCTAACCCCACACGTACATCTAGTGCGTTTAAAAAAAAAATAAAAAAAAATCCAGTTGAACCTTACAAGCGCAGCAATCCAGATCTGTGCACTCAAGCTGGAATGCCCCAAGAGTTATTGGTTGAGCCAATCCCCTCACCGTTAAACCTTAGTTGCAACTTTTTTTGTGAAATTGCAAGGTTTTCTATGCACGTAGCGGCCCACTCAGGCTAGGACTTTCCTGGATGGATCCAACCCGATGCATGGCCAGATTCATTCAGAAAGTTCTAGTCTGAATATGCCCCTAGTTGTCAAGTGATCCAACCAATAAAGAGGCTTCCTGCATTATTAATTTATTCCTAATTTATACTAACCTGATGTGTGAGAACGGAGTGTATCTTCTGCGCTGGCCATCCTTTTTTTTTTTTTCTTTTTTTTCACATTTGCCGGGTGTCAGAGTGAGGCCCAACGTCGAAGGTATTTTGTTAAATCACCACAGCCTTTTTTTTTTTTTTTTTTTTTTTTTTGGTAATGAACGTCAGTGACGGGGGATGTGCAGATAAGAGCAGACACCCCCTCTCTACCATCCCCGCTCATTAGATGGCTCCGTTCCAACCTTCCACCGGCAAGCTCGAGAGTCGGGTGAGCAGTGCGACAACCAGACCTTTGACGAGCGGGGATGGTCGAGACCAGAAACCACATTCTTCGGGTGAACAGTGCAACAACCAGAGACAAAAATGGCTGGCGAGGGCGGTAAAGAAAGAAAAGAAAAAAAAAACATGCCACGCTGGCGCTTCGGCAAAGCCTGGCACACAGTTCTTTTCCGCCTCCGCAAATAGAGCCGTGGAGGAGGTAAGGTGATTTAAGCGTATCTGCAGTGGCTTCGGCTGCATGACCATAAACTGTACTGAAGCCCCCTTGTCAGAGGTTACACTGTCAGACAGTAGTGTTTGGCTGCTGGTCTTTGGCTTTTTGGCTTTTTACTATCTATGTATGACAGTATGAGGGCCTCCAGAGCTTGCCTTTTTTTTTTTCTTTTTGGTAGAATTTCCATCCTCTCTCGATTTATTCGTGTCATTCCTCTTCTTTTTTTTTTGGACCTTTTTTTTTTTTTTTTTTTTTTTTTTTTTTTTTTTAAACATGCACCGACTAGTGCTAGTGGTGCTGATAAGACCAGACACCAGTAGCACCTGGGGAGAGGCTCCATCTATTGGTGGGGAGCATGACCTGCTGGAAAACGGGTCCAGCGTCCCATGTACAGAATGAATTCGGAATATATCAGAGAAACAAATGCGGGATATTCCTGCCAGCATTGATTACCCTGGGATCCAGGGGATTGACTGAGCAGGATATTGGAAGTGGGGGGGGGACCTCTTCACCCTGGACCTGGCACCGGATCCTTTATTGATGTTGCTGTCCTACTTATACCGCTCCGTCCCATTGCATGTCCACCATGGTCAGCTGATGGCGAGGGAAAGGGTCGGGAAAAAGTCCGAGGGTGGCCGCAACGGGGTCCCTTGGCCCACCGTTGTCCAATCTCTGAAGCAGAATGATGTAATAGTCTCTCTTGATCGTTCCCTGGTTGCCTTTCTCGGTACCTTTGTTACCTTCGTGGGCGCAACCACCATCCCACTTGATGAAGGCGATCCGGCCCCCGTTCACACTGCCCAGCCAGTCCCCTGAAAATTGTCGAGTTTTCCGTTTTATATCTTTCTGTGCCTGAAACAGACCCAGCTGATTTTTAACTTTCTGCCATTGTGCCATGAGTTCTTGGTGTATATATTGTTTGATCATGTCTGTCATTTCCTCCCCGGCTTTGCGGACCCCCTCCATGGCATGTATACAGCGTCTCCTCCTGATGGCCCACATAACGGCTCCCCTCCCTATCTTGAACATATTGTTTTCGAAGGTCTATCTGAGGGGGAAGTCCATGCCTCACATAGTATCGCCCTCCAGTCCCATGGCCAGGTCGATCTGGTGTCCAACAGGTTCCAGATAGATTCTGTCCCACCATCGCCATGTAAGGACAGCCGCCCGACACTGCAAGAAAATGTGGTCTATTGTTTCCGGGATTTTGCGGGAGGGGAACGCCGTGTGGCACGACTTGCGCCACGGGAGCGCCAGGCCTTTCTGTTCCAGGTATGTGCGATCTACTAGCCAGTCGTTGGTGGGGAGGCATCGGTGTTCTATCTGCCACTGCAGCGAGGCCAGCTTTGCAGGCCTGGATCAAGTGAGGGTGAACCGCCGAATGGGGCGGATGGCGTCGACCCCCACATTCACATGAGACCTCCAACGGGTCTTCACAATGTCTTTCAAGTTTACTCTGGGGCAGCGCCACTAGCACTGCAGGGGGCGTTCGTTTAAAAAAAAAGAAAAAAGAAGCGGTATGTGGCTGTCACGGTCAAGCTGAACAGCTTTACATTCACGGCCGAGCTGAACAGCTTTACCCCCGGGTTGTTCGTGGCGGGGACCACTGCCGCTCCTAAGCGGGGTGACTGCGCTCTTAGTCACCCCCGGGTTCTTCGCGGGGGGGACCACCGCCACTCCTTAGGGTCAAAGGGGAGGTCTGTAAGACAGGTCTCCGGCCGGTATGCTATCCAATCTTCCTTATCTTGTAGCACCCGGATCCGGTGCAGATCAGCATTCCGCCACCATCTCATCACGTCCGGGGTGTATCTGGTTAGCACATTGCGTGTTCCTTTGTAAAAGAGATTAACCAGCGTTTCATCCGCGCGTGCCTCTACGACGCTCCCTACGCTTTCCGGGTCTCCCGGAGCGGCTACCCAGTCCCCTTCCACCAGCATCGGTCCCTGGCGCAAAATGCGCACCCAATCCAGGGGGATTGCAAAGATCAGCTATTCCAGGTTCCTTTCTATGTTGTGACAGTGTTTGAGTAACGTCCTCATCAGATTCTGTGGCGCCGTTTTCCAGTCTCTGTTTTCGGAATCCCAGATGTCTTGAACAGTTTAACTCTAGTTATGCCTTTCTTGACCCAGCTGCTCAAGGGTGAGTCCGAACTGCAGTATATCCTTGTGTTCTGGTCCGTGATGTTTCTCGATTCATAGTATTTTTACTATTTTATGTGTCGCCAAAAAAAAAAAAAAAAAAAAAAAAACTATTTTATATGTGCCGTGCTTGCGTAGGGGCCGTGCTAATATTCATTCTCTGTATCGTTCAGAATTTAACGAATGTCCCGAAGGACTTACGGATGTCATCTTTTTGTAGGGGCCATGCTAATCTTCTCTTTGTGTATCGTTCCAATTTTTTTAGCAGATGTCGCAAAGGACGCTCCTGGGCTTGTCTTGATGATGCTACCCTCTGTCTGTAGCGGCAGACACAAGCGGATGACAGCGCCCTTCCAAAGTAAGTTGTGTGAATTATGCCTGTTTTTCTTTGTACCATTGCATGCGCGTCCATCATGGGACAGTTGCAGGGGTACTTAACTCAGCAGCACACCCACGCCTGCAGGCCCCTTGCTGCGCGCCAAGGTTTTCCAAACCGCCAGCGGCGCACTTTTTCTCCTTTTTTGGCTGGGGCCTCCAGCCATCTTGGTCCGGTTGGCTGAGCCTCCAAAAGTTTCGTAGGCTATATGATTTTCTTTTTCCCAGCAAGGCTGGGGCCATGTACTGGCAGTTTAAGCCACATTCTGGTCCTACCTTAACTATGAAAGCTCATCGTAATTGTAAAAAAAATAAAAAATAAAAATAAAAAGAAAGGAACCGGTCTGTTTGCTATTGCTGGTAGGCTGGTCACTAGGTTGGCCTGTATGGGTTGCAGCTGCTGAATACCTCTTGGCTCTCGAATACCCAATCAGTGCGAGCCTTCCCTTGATTAGCGAAGCAAACGGGAGCCCTCCCTTGATTATTACCCATTCATTGGATTGCCGTCGATTTATTACGCAGTCATTGCATGGCCGTCCCTCGATCAGCCAGCCGTTGCGTGTTGGCTTTGCTGCCCCCAAACAGCTGCGCAGTACCGGCTTCACCCAAATAGAACGCCCGGTACTTATAGCTGTATCTGGACTGAAAGGTGCACCAAATACAGCGTTGATGACCGGCCATTCTATTCGGGTGAAGGCGGTAGCGTAAATGTAATAGCCAGCAATAGGTCCACCCAGGCACTGCAAAGTATGGAATAGCCAGTGTAGCACTGCGAAGTATGGAATAGCCAATGTAGCACTGCAAAATATGGAATAGCCAGTTTAGCACTGCAAAGAACGGAATAGCCAATGTAGCACTGCAAAGTATGGAATAGCCAATGTAGCTATGGCGACGTATAGCCTTGACTGGGTATCATGATAGCCATGGACTGAGTATCGTGATAGCCATGGCTAAGTATCAGCATGGCTATGGCCAAGTATAGTCGTGACCGAGTATCATAATTGCCATGGCCAAGTATCGGCATCATGATGGCTATTGCAAAAAGTATAGCAAAAAGTATAGCCATGACTGCGTATCATTACAGCCATGGCTAAGTATCAGCATCATGATGGCTATTGCAAAAAGTATAGCAAAAAGTATAGCCATGACTGAGTATCATTATAGCCATGGCTAAGTATGAACTTTGAAGTATGGCTACGGCAAAGTATATAGCCATGACTGAGTATCATGATAGCCACCATGGCTTAGTTCGAGTATGGCTATGTCCAAGTATAGCCATGACTGAGTGTCATGATAGCCATTTGGCTATGTATGGGTATTAAAGCACTAGTACACCACCACACATCGGCCCGCGGGTGTCAGCATGAAACCCGCACCACTTCGGAGGCCGCGGATTTTTTTTTTTCAATGGCGCCCCACGCCGCGTGGCCCCTCCGAGTTTTGCTT